ACAGTTTCCTCATTTGTACAATGTAGATAATAATACAGTGTCTAAGACACTGCATTTTTTAGGAGGGAAAAATGATATTATAAGGGAAAAATAACACAAAAACACACAGAAGAATAATACAAGGCAAGCCATTGATAAGGGCTAGATATCATGTACTGTCAACATCAATTCTAACCTACCCATGGGCACACAATGTTTTATTTAGCTGACCCCAACTTCCCTTTGGTGGTTAGGATAATTGACATCTACATCACCAAACAGTGGAAACAACCTATCTATAGTCTAATAACAAAAGGATGGAAATGCTTTTATTAGAACGCTAATGCACTGGTTCTTTAGATAGATCCACAGAGCGGATCTATTAGCTGTCAGGGTCAATGATAAACAGATGAAACTCCCCCATGAAATACCAGTAATGGAAGAGACACAGGCAGTGTCAAACGGTATTAATACTATGAAATCAGAACTTGTTAGGGGAAAAATAATCCAGAATAATAGACAGCCTTTGAACTAAAGACAAAAAAACCCAGAAAGGTAAAGCCTCTGGTATAACACATGAGAAAATGAAGCTTGAATTATTCAACAGCTCATTCATTTTTGATGGTAGGGAAATTGCCTGAAATCCCTTCACATTCTGCAAAGATCAAACATATTAGGAATGTCAAAATAATATTAGGCAACCCCTTTCAAGAGTCAAAATAACTCCTCAGAACAAAGGAAAAAATGGCAAAGTTCAGGGCTCTAAAGAATAGAATTAAATGCTGATGTTGTGGGGGAAAAAAACACGGAAGTCCTGCTGGTACTATTAATAAAATGCCAGCCGGTCGTTTACTAAGGGGTCAGGTTTGGCAAAGCACTGAGACTGAGGTCCTGGATTTCTTCACTTTTAAATCAGGATAATAATTTCTATTTTATGCATTCATATGAGTTAGAAAAAACTAATGCATGTAAAGCTTCAGAAAACATTAAAAATATTAGTTTACCCATCTTTGATCAGTCTGGAAGTCATAAGTCATAAGCAAAGTTTCCTATGTATTTTGCTTGGTCTTCACACAGTTTTATGTATCAACTATGTTTTAAAGAGAATGTTGTTTGCAGATTTTCTTTATATTCCACTCTCGGTTTATCCAAAAAGACCAGAATGATAAATCCAAGTGCTTCCAACACCCTTCATAAGGGATGCTCCACTAAAATGCAGCTAATGCAGTTTTATGGGTTACCCTGGTGGCTCAGTGGTAAAGAATCCACCTGCCAATGCAGGAGGTGCAAGCTTGATCCCTGATACTCTGGAGAAGGAAATGGCAACCCACTCCAGTATTCTTGCCTGGGAAATTCTGTGGATAGAGGAGTATGGTCAGCTACAGTCCATGGGGTCAAAAAAGAGTCAGACATGACTTAGCAACTAAACAATGATGCAGTTTTATGTTCAACACTGCTGCTTGCCCAAATGGTAGTATCACATCTATCATTATTTCAGAATCAGGTGACTTACACAATTCTAAAATTGTGAAAGTTTTAGTCTAAAAATTTGAATACAGTGTCACAGTTCCATATTGACTCAGAATGTCTAATTTTGCAATAGTGTCTAGTAAATGTCAGATTCTGTGTACTTTACTTAATTATGTGATATGGAATTTTATTGCTCATAAAGCATTTCCTCACTTAGAAAATATCACTAGGTACCAATGTACAACAATGCAGTCTTTTGCTACAAAGTTGAGTGTACATTACAGCATGTGAAACTGGGGAAAGACCAGAGAAACTGGGGAAAGAAACCCGAACCAGGACAAATACAAGCCATTGCGTTATTGCTTATATTCCATGGGAAAAAATTCAGTTAAGGTGGTGATTCATGACTTGATTCCATCATTCCTAGAGCAATTACATGTGGAACTACTCAGCCTTCTCTTCACGAAGCATCCAAGATCTATAATTAGAACATGCAGATAAAACGTCCTGCAGAGTTTCAGAGAGTGTGTAGCTGCTGTTCTTGGTGATGTTAAAAGCAACTACTGATTTGTCTAAAAAAAGCCATATAATATACAGTGCCTTATTCCTTTATTCATTAAGCAGTTAGATGCAGGCATAATTCAAACACAAGATTTTTCAGGTTAATTAAATCACTTCAGTTAATAGCAGACATTTTTTCATAGACTATTATTAAACTAATAGGAGGTATGAATATAACCAGACTGAAGAGTGGGGAATTTCTTTTCTTCCATGCCCTGTATTTTTTAGCAGATATTTTATATTTAGCTTAAGCATGGCCTAAAAAAATCAGTTTTATTTCCTTTTATAACTCCTATAACTACTGAGAGATGGAAGAGAACTTTGGTCAACTTTCTTTTCTTTTCACCGTTTATCAGTGGAGATACAATAACCTCTCATTACAAAAATGGTACCATCCTTGTTTAAACTAACAAGGCAAAATTTTTCCTTGTTGTTCAGTTGCTAAGCTGTGTGTGCATGGACTGCAGCATGCCAGGCTTCCCTGTCTTTCACCAGTCCCAGAGTTTGCTCCAATTCATGTCCAATGAGTCGGTGGTGCTATCTAACCATCTCACCACCTCATCCTCTGCCTATTTTTCTTATTCCAATTTAGTTAATGGATATAGTTTTTTGAGCCATATGTTCTACCTTTCACTATAAAGAGACACAGTCATAAGTAGTACTACCACTTCACATTTTGTAGAAACATTCTCTTCCGAAAGAGTACGAGGTCAGCTTTTTGGTATAGTACTCCATGTGTGAATAAAAGAGTTAAAATCATGATGTGAAAAAAGAACATGCCCTTAAAGATTTGGAAAAAAAAATTCTGCTTTGGTATATTCAGGAAGAAAAAATATAGACCATGTTTTATGATGATTTAATAAATGATGTACAGAACTTGCATTTTAGAATTTAAATTTCAAAAGCAAGAGTTGGCTGATTACAAAAACTGCACTGCCACTTATGACACTTTAATTGCAAGTTTCCAGGCAAATATTATGACACTCTATGTTAATTACTTTCCATGTTTTACAAGTTTATATATATTTAGAGGCATGACTAAGTTCCAGTGAATGGTACAAAATTATTGGGCAAAAAAACCCTATTGGCCAATATATTTTATACATTAGTTAAAAAAAATTAAAAAGGAACATATGGAACCAAAACCTAAAAAGAATGTCCAACACTTGCTGTAATCTACCATTTAATGTTGACTAAGTGATAGACTGTAATAAGAGAAGAAGGTCAACAACTGTAACTATCTTAACGCTGGGGCTGAACTCAGCTTTACAGGCCAAGAATAACTTATAAATGTGTGAAATAAAAACAGGAGTTGTGGTTTTGGCATGTGTCACTAATAAAACATAAAAAGATGATCTTTTATGAGGTAGCTTTGTCTACAATTTGAGGAAGAGAGATGGCTTTGAACCTCAGAAATTGTGTCTAAGCATCTGGCTCAAATATCCTTAACCAGCGGGCTTAAATCATCTAGCTTATTCAACTTGCTTTATTGCAAATGAGTTATCTGCTCCATGGTTGATATGCAGCTGTAAGCTCAATTTTTGAGGTCCAGGTTGGTTCCCAGACATCACAAGGTTCAAAGTCTCAAACTATAATTATTAGATCACAGTAATTGGCTGTGAAAGAAAGAGGGCCTGAAGGGAGAAAAGAGCGAGTCTTCTATGACTGTAATATCAAAAGGCCTAACACCAGATGGACATTTGAAAGGATATAAATATTTAAATCTAGAAAGGTGATAAAATCCTGGGTTTATCTATAACAAGCCTAAATGAACACATTAAAACATTAAGAATACATGTGTGATTCTGATTCTGATATTCAATAAGTCAATTATTTATTTACCTCACTCACATTTATTAAATATACAGATCATACAGTTAATACATTTTAGATTCTTGTCTTTGATTATTGGTCTTATGTTCTGTAAGTTTCTTAAAAGTTGGATTTATTCTGCTTGCATTATTTTCATGTCCAACACACACAACAAAAATCATGCAGAGTAAATTTTCAACATGATATCTCTATTTTTTTCCTCATTTCATTGTTCCTTTAAAAAATAAGCTTATTTTCTTTAGGGAATTATGCCTAAAATATATTATCACCTTAAATAGGAAGTTGTTCAAAAATAGTATTCCAAATTATTATGATATAACTTGAAAAAGGCAACAAAGAAATATGATTGAAGAGTACCTTTCTGCAGCAACAAAAATTAAAGTTTTGAGATCAAAACCCAAATATTCAAAAATATTACTGTATTCTTTTTTAAGTTGCATAATAATCAAATCTCCACCAAAGATGACTCCCTCTACTCCTGCCACTTAATGGACACATTTTGCTCAGGCACTTACCTTTCATCATGATTCTAAGGGAATAAACCCATTTCTCATTCCAGGGCAAATGACATTATCAGTCCAAATCATGGGAGTTAAGAATTGGGTAAGTATCATCTAAGCTGACAAATTAAAGAGAAGCACATTTATTGGATATTAGAAGGAAAGGATTTCCTCTCTCCCTTCTATAGAATAACAAAGAACCCTGGCATATTTCAGCTCTGAGGGGAATCAGCTTAAGGCAAATGCTAAAAACATCCTGTCCCGGAAACATCTGTATTTTCTTGTATGATTCTCCTATAAATGAGGGACTCCTTCAGGGAGGCAGAGAGCTTGTTGATGCAGGAGGTGAGTCATCCCACTGCTTCAGTGAGCTGGCTTATGGAGCGTCCTGGAGGCATGCTGAGAGTGAGGGGGACCTTCAAGGGCTGGCATGCACTAGATCATCCTTGAGGTGCCAAAATGGAAACACATCATATGCAAAGTGTACAGTCCTATTTAGTACTTGGATTATGATATTTAATTTGAAACATTCTGACTTATACTCACAGTGATCTCCAAACTCTGTCAGAGTTGCTATCCATTTTGATGTAAATTACCATGGGATTGAGTGAACCGCTGTTTCATTTTAATTCCGAGGAACATTTGGTTTTGTCATTATTTACCGTTGTTTATTGACATATATTTCCACAGACCAAATCTTTCATTACATATATAGCTGAACATAGAATCATAATTGTATAGTATAGAAAATAAACCTTCTTGTATCATCCTCAGCATTTAATTATGCAAAACTAGTGACAAACATCTTTAGAAAAAAATAATAAAATAGTCCTTCAGTATTAAAATTTCTTATTAAAAAGCATGACATCGAAGTTAAGAGCATGGCATATTAATGCATAGATGAATCAGGCATGAATAAAATGAATCTAATCCCATCTCTTATAGTAAATCAAAATCTTTGAAACCTACAGTTTGTAATGGGTTAACTGAAAAAAATGACATATTTAGTTTTTTCATTATTCTGTGGTTTCTGATCATGTAACTTTTTAAACAATGAATACTCAGGATATAAACAAGGTACTGCATACTTACCAGGTGATTTTTATGTCACTCTGCTGAATGCAGGATAAATATATTTGGGCTTTTTATTGCTTGAGTAGAAAGTGCTCATTACTTATTATGTTTATAATATAGAAAAATTAAAAAACAAAAAACAAAAAACAAAAAAAAAGCTTTTAAATGGCATACATCACACTGTTGTAGTGGTGGACTTCCTCAAGATGGTCTTCTGTGGTTTGGGTGCAGTGGGAGGAGGCACAGTTGCAGGTCTGAGGGGGGGGAAGCTGTTACTGTGGCTTATTCCCAGCCCCCCGTTTTCTAGTGGAAAAGGAGGGAGATGAGGGGGAAGTGGGTGGGGAGGGCCTTGGGGAGGAAGCTTTCCTGGTGGGTGGACGGGTTCGCTGTGTAAGAGGACCTCCCTGTTCTTTACGTGATACCTGGTGTCACAGTCAGGACAATAGCCATGGTACTGGACTTTTTCATTAAACCTTACTCGTTCCCGAGGCCCAGCTTGGGGGCACCTGTCTTTTTCGGGTCTGTGCATCAGAGGCTGCCCGGGAGCCTTGTCCATGTTACTGCTGGGTTTGCAGTAGATTTCTCCATTGGGGATTTTGGTCGGTGCCCCAGGGAAGCCTCCGTTCCGCAGAAGGGTGCCATTGGTCTTTACCGGGTTGACAGTGGGCGCCGCTCGCTGGGGGTCTTCACACTTCACGGGTGTCAACCGTGGAGGAGGCGCTGGAGGGTTTGGCTTTCTCAGGACCGTGAGGATAGCAGATGGGTGGGCTGGGGGTTTAATGAGGGGGGCATTGGCCTGCACTTTGATCTTCTCTATGCTGGAGGCTGTCGTCCCGCTTGAGCTACTATTTAGGGTGTCCGTCTTGGAGCTGTCAGTCATCTCATCCTCCAGCTGTAGGTCAGAGGTCAGGGTATCAATCTGGTCAACCACCTGGTAAAAAGCACAAGGGAATCATGTTGAACAACAACCCCAAGCAAAATATACCACAAGTGTCTTCCTATTTCATAATCAGATATGGGAACAGGGACTAATACTGAATGGTGAATTCCATTGTTCTTAAGTTTTCATTCAACAAATTTACAGAGTATCTACCAGAAGAGCACCAACTATTTGATGACATAATGATTTCACATGCCTAGAATATGTTATTTATGTATATGTTCTATCCCTGACTCTGCTGTATCCAAAGATAAAATCTAATACAGAAATGTAACTGATTTTTAAAATTGATTTACAATATTAGTTTCAGGTGTACAACACAGTGACTTGATATATTTATAGGTTACCCTTCATTTAAATGTATTATAAAATATTGACTATAACCCCTGTGCTGTACAGTATACCCTTGTAGCTTATTTATTTTGTGTGTAGTAGTTGGTACCTCTTAATCACTTACTCCTATTTGCTCCTCCCCCACCCTTCTCCCCACTGGTTATTAAACTGATTTTAAACAGGGGAGGGGGCTTTCCTTCTGACTTATCCTGTAGAAAGCATAGGAGAACATTAATCTCATGCTAAAATGAAACAAGGCCTGATAATCTGCAAAAATCAAAACTTTTCTAGAGATTATCAGAGAACTGAGATCACAAAGTAACCAAATAAACTGAACTGTAAAGAGCTCCAAACCCTGTGAAGGAAGACAGGACACAAAGACTGTTCCATCTTTGGCCAATCACAGGGAAAAGATGTAGTGTACAAAAGTGAGTAAAGAAAACAGCTAAGACATTAAAGAGTAATTAAAGGCAGAGTGTGCTATCATGACAAGTTAGAAACCTGAAGACCCCAGACACAATGCAGCCTGTTCTCACTCGTGGCCCTTTTTCCATAGGCTTCTCTGAGGGCAGGCAGAGACTGCAAAGGGTCCCTCTTGGGCACAAAAACTCACCCATTTCCCAGACCCTTCTTTCTTACAAAACAGAAGTCTTCAGCACTAGGGGGATGGCAAGAAACCCTCTAACTTCTAAGACATAGGCAATGATCAGCTGCTTTGATCAGCTGCTTCGAGGCTGGAATAAAGAGGTGTCTATGTCCTTGGAAAAGGAGGTGAAACATTCTCTTGGATCCAGGAACCTACACTACTTATGTCTGCTACCACGTGGAGGAGGGATCCAAGTCACAGTCACTCAGTATATGCCAAAGACACAAGACAGAATCAAGAAACCAAGTAAGACTGCAGGCCCATCACACCACAATGCAGGATCAACCCCAAGTGTAGGAGAGTGATTGTGAAGACAGGAAAACTGGGTGGCAGAGTTCCAGGCCATGCCTTTCTAAGGCAAGTTGGGCAGGACAATCAGAGAGTCAAGGAGTTAAGGAATCTAGCACCTCCTACAACCAGCTGGCTTAGACTCTCTTCGTTATTAAGTCATGGTCTGGGATAGCCTGTGGGAAACATAGTCTCAGCTCAAATGCTCAATTTCAGAGCCAAGAAGTTTGACCCTCTGTCATTTACATGCTCTGAAGTCACAGATCTTAGAGACCATTCTCACAGCTGCCGTACATGTGCTATTCTGTTTACATGATGAAGGAAGCTATGGGTGACTTTAAAAATAATTTATTTTTAAATGGAATGAGTCCCTTCATCTCATGTTTCCATATGTAGGCTGTTTCTTCTTCTCTTACTCAGGCTGAAGTGTGTTCAACTGTGAAGTTAGCCCTTTGACACAAGATTGGGCTCAAAATGAAGACATCATGACCAACCAGAAGGTAGAGAGGACATGGAGAATTTACTTCTTCCACAGGTGAGTCTTATGTGATTGGTTAATACCAGTACCATGAGAGCTAGGCCTTCAATTTTAGCAGATTTTAGTTCCTGAATCCATTCACTTCTCTCCATCTTCCTTTCTCTGATCCCAATCTGAACCTTGCCTCCCCTCTCAGTTCTATAATCTCAGTGGTCTTTTAAAAAACTGAGTTGTATTTTTGTCATTCCCTGCTTAAAACTTTTAATACCTGCTCATTTCTTCTGTGATACATATCAATTTAACATGGTCTCCAGGGGCTTGTAAAGTCTCAGTGTTGTTCTGGTAATTGTTGAATAACTGGTTCTTAGGGCTTTGAGTCCTGATTTAAAGAGTTTGCCAGTTTCCATGGTGTGGACTCATGCCATGGTTAACTTCAAGTGAGTAAGGCAGCATCACTGAACGTGAGACTGGGAAGAAACATGCATGGGTGTATCATTATAAAGAGCTTCCACCACACCAGCAGAATAGACATAAACTCAGGAGCACAAATACATATTAAAATGTTGTAAAATAATTAGGAATGACTAGAATCAGGCAACTTTTCTTTTTAATGTAATTTATTTAATATAGGTTTATATACTTCAGTTTTCAATAACTGTGACGCAGTTATTTCACAACTGGCTCACAAGATTTCTGAAAATAAAACAATTGGCCCTTTTTAACCAGTATGAGCACTCCTAACTACTTTCTATATGTTGTTGTTGTTGTTGTTGTTGTTGTGTGTGTGTGTGTGTGTGTGTGTTAGCCATTCAGTCTTGTCTTGTCTGAGTCTTTGCAATCCCATGGACTATAGCCCACCAGGTTATTCTGTCCATGGAATTCACCAGGCAAGAATACTGGATTGGGCTGCCATTCCCTTCTTCAGGGGAATCTTCTCCACCCAGGGATCAAACATGAGTCTCCGGAATTGCAGGCAGATTCTTTACCATTTGAGCCATCAGTTGTTGTTGAGTTGCTAAATTGCATCCGACTCTTTGCAGCTCCACAGACTACAGTATGCCAGGGTTTCCTGTTTTTTACTATCTCCTGGAGTTTTCACAAACTCATGTCTATTGAGTCAGTCATGCCATTCAACCATCTCATCCTCTGTTGCCCCCTTTCCTCTTACCCCCAGTCTTTACTAGCATCAGGGTGTTTTCCAATGAGTTGGCTCTTCATATCAGTTTGCCAAAGTATTAGAGCTTCATCTTCAGCATCAGTCCTTCCGATGAATAGTCAGGGTTGATTTCCTTTAGAATTGACTAATTTGATCTTCTTGCTGTCCAAGGGACTCTCAACAGTCTTCTCCNAACATTCAGGATTGATTTCTTTTAGGATGGACTGGTTGGATCTCCTTGCAGTCCAAGGGACTCTCAAGAGTCTTCTCCAACACCACAGTTCAAAAGCACTAATTCTTCGGCCCTCAGCCTTCTTTACAGTCCAACTCTCAAATCCATACATGACCACTGGAAAAACCATAGCTTTGATTAGATGGACTTTTGTTGGTAAAGTAATGTCTCTGCTTTTTAAATGATGCACAGAGTAGGTATCACATTCTCTAGCTCTTGGCCAGATATCATAGAAATTCAAGTGGAAGGATACCTAAATATCATGATAGATAGATGAACATCTTGGCTCATGTGTACTGTGTACTGTTTAACCCAGACTGGTTACCTACCTAAGCCTTTTTTTTTTAATCTTCAGCAAAAGAGAGAAAGCTAGTCTACTGTGAGGAAAGGGAAAATGATTTTCAGAGATAAATACACTGCCTGGGGCCCTGATGTTTCAGTAGTTGCTGACTGGTTTTGGTCTGTACAGTGCTATTTCCCAAATGCCTAAAAATGCCCATAGAACAACAACAAAAACCAGAAACAAGCAAAATAATGCCCTCATGGGACAGGGAATCTAGTGGAATGGCCTGACATCAATTAGGTCCTCAAACAAGTAACTGTAAAAGCACATCTGCCTCAGGTGCTTTGAAAGAGAAGTACAAGCTATTATAAGAGGAAAATAAAACCATGTGAGAAAGTGGGTGAAGCATTCCTGAAGGATGAGTTACAGTGAACCGGTAGAAGAGGAGTGATTCCAGAAGTCCATTTAGGAAAGCGCCTCATCAAGGTACTTGGATAGAAGAGAACCCCTGAGTATGAGCAACTTGGAGTGGGCTCTTGGCTGAAGGACACTGAGAGAGACAAGGCTGGAGAGCTGGGTGGCAGCTAGGCTGCAAGAGTCCTAGTTATGTTGTGATAAAGGACTGCATATTGTTAAAAGGGTTTCAGAAGTGAGAGAAGCAATATTCAAAGAGGCAATGAATTCAGTTTTTCAGAACTAATTAAAGAATATGCAGTCTCAAGCAGGAAAGCATAAGCAAACATACAACCAGAGATACTACAGTGAAAATACAGAACATTAGAAAGTAATGATTAAAGTTTTACAACAACAAAATAAACACCAAATATTTACACAATAACAAAATTTAGACAGGAGATTTTCACACAGGCAATGGAAGCCTCAATACAATTTAGAAATATGTTTCCTACTGAAAGAAAGAAATTGGATATGGAATATCCAATTCACTTTCTGTGAAAGTGAGAGTGAAATAGACATAATCCATCAGAGATGAAAAGTAATGAATGAAATAAAATTTAAAGCTCATGTATACACACACACACACACTGAAAAAATGGGATAAAAGTTATAAAGAAATAATTCATATACGGTAAGCTCCAAATTTTCAAAAATCATACACTCGGTCTCATGAGTAATCAAGCTAGTGCAAACTCAAGAAAAATGAGAAACTATTTATTTTAGTAGTTTTTATTGAGTAGTTTACTCAGTAAACTACTGAGTAGTTTAGAAAAACAAACTAGTCCAATGGTTCTATTTGATGATGAGGTGAATAAATGGGAACTTTGTATATTGCCAGTGGAAATGTAAATTCAGTGCATTGGGGAACTTTTTGACAATGTCTTATAAACTGGTTAAGGTTCATACTCTATGGTATAGGTCTTCTAGGAACAAAGTCTGGACTATTCTGGAGAAATTCTAAGAGATGTGCGCAGCGTTGAAAAAGCACAGGGATAGTTCTTATATGTTTTTTTTTTCTATTTTGGTTTGTTTTGCCATGGCAAAAAATTGGAAGCAACCTAAATATCTGTTAGTAAGTGATAAGGTAAGTAAATATAAACTAGTTCAAATGAATTAAAT